TATATATATGTGTGTGTGTGTGTGTGTGTGTGTGTGTGTGTGGCAGTAATGTTTACATAACAACATTTAGCTTACAACATTTAGAAGTAACAGTCTAGGCATCCAAGCAAAGTAAGAAATAGTATATTCATATGGATAGGAGGGAAATTAAGTTTGGATAAAAGACAAAAACAATTAATTATCAGCACAGAATCATTAAGATAAAAACATAAAAATATTTTCTAACTAATCTTTTGAGCAGTACTGAGGAAGTTAGGATATCAAGATTACCATAAAGTCTCTGGTGGTGGTTGATTTATCAACCATCTTAAACAACAAGCAGAATTACCAAACTTCATAGACCTGTTAAGGGCCGGTAGACCTGGTTCAAACAAGGTGGTGGACTCAATAGGCAGAGCTAGAAATGGGATGGAAGACAAGTCACAAGGAGTTGAGGCAGGACAGGAACTGGGCAATCGCGGGGAAATGCACAGGTCGGAAAAACACTGGGTTGAAAACAACTCACGATGTGTCAAGGAGTTGACTACTGGATTTAGTTTGCCAAACTGTCTGTAGCTCTGCCTTTCCCTGAAGACTTCTGTGAATTTGTTCTCTGAACTCAGTTGTTTTTTGGGCTAGCTGTGTTGGTGTTTTCATTTGTGCTTATGCATACATTTCTGTTTTGACCATCCTCCCAGTTCTATTATGCCACTCTCCCTTTCTGCTCCAACGACACCACTCCTCCACTCCTAGGTCTCCTCATTTCAACTATCGGACAACAAGAATACACAAATACTCACTCCTAGACCCTGCTGGCCTTGACCTTTGTTGGCTCTAAGGTTGCACCCAAAACTTAATTGCATTCCACCACCTGTTGCACCTCTCCAAGTCCCCAGAGCAGCCTTGCCTCTTGATAAATCCCCCAGATAAATCTTTTAAATGTACCTACTGTCTTTGGTTGTCATGTATTTGGGTCCAGTTGAAACTGGAAACCTGACATATTTCTTTCTTGCAATTTTTCAGGAGGGTGTGGCCTGAATAGTGTGCCATAGTAGTGAGTACTAAAACCCAGACCTCAGTTAGCATTTTTGCACGTTTTGTTTATTATATTAGTCATGGTCATAACTGATGCTATAGTCACTAGAGTCCATGCATCAGCCAAAACAAACCAATAACCTGTTACACCAGAAAGAAAAAAAGGACTTTAGAGAATGACGAAGATGGTGATGCATAGTGAGGGAGGAGGGAGATCAGTATCTAAGAGAGAGAGAGAGAGAAAGAGAGAGAGAGAAAGAAGGAGGGGCGTAATGATGATGACTTTTTCCCACAGCACTGGATCTCTGCCTCCAGCCTTCATCTCCTGCTCTCCTGTCATCTGTCAGCCTGCCCATCTGCCTCCACTACACTGGGTCTGCACACCGGGCCAGCGATCTCCTGCACCGGCTTCTGCCTCCCTGGACTGCTTCCTAGGCCAGCAGCGCAGCGCTCTCCTGCCGAGAGCTAGCACACACCATTGTTTTAGGTCCTCTGTTTTAATACTGAATATAGCCCTTGTCTTTGTGTACCAGTTGCCCTCTCTCATACACTCATCCTCTGCTCTAACATAACAAGCCACACCCCTCCTTCAACCCCAGGTTACACCTCTAGTGGTCCAGTCAACACAGCATCCCCAACTGCCCGAGATCAGCTGCAGTGTCCAGCTCTGTCTACTCCTCATTTCTAAATTCATCAAATTATTTGCCTTGTCAAGCCTGAGTCTTAAAATTCGGCTTGCCGTAACAGAATTATCATCTTAATAATAAAAAACCTTACCTTTTATTTTTTTGTTCCTAGTTACACACACACAGTGACGGATGTAACACACATATATGCTGAAAGCCTCTGTCTCCACACAGCAAGAACTGCGCATGTATGACAAATCAGGTATGGAGGAATAATCGAGGATGTGGACACTCATGGGAAGAAGACTTCTGTTTACCTTGTCAGCATGGGCATCCAGTGCTTTTCACTGCTGAACCTGGGCCACAGTTAATGCACCAC